TAGCCGAGCACGCTAGCGTGTGCCTGTATTTACAGCTACTTGGAAGGCTGAGACAGAAGGATCACTGAAGCCCAGGAGGTCGAGGCTGTGGTGGCCGTGAGCATGCCACTATACTCTAGCCTGGGTGACAGAGTGAGACTCCTACTCAAGCAAAACAAAACAAAACAAAAAAAGTGAAAGACTGCTGGGCACCATGGTTTATGCCTGTAATCTCAGTACTTCGGGAGGTAGAGATGAGAGGATCGCCTGAGCCCACGGGTTCGAGACTAGCCTGGGCAACTTGGTGAGACCTTGTCTCTACAATAAATCAAAAAATTAGCCAGGCGTGGTGGCACGTACCTGTAGTTCCAGCTAATTGGAAGGCTGAGGTAGAAGGATCACCTGAGTCTAGAAGGCTGAAACTGCAGTGACTGTGAGTGTGCCATTGCACTCCAGCCTGGGTGACAGAGTGAGACTCCTACTCAAACAAACAAAACAAGACAAAAAAAGTGAAAGACTGCTGGGCGCCATGGTTTATGCCTGTAATCTCAATACTTCGGGAGGTAGAGACGAGAGGATAGCCTGAGCCCACGGGTTCAAGACTAGCCTGGGCAACTTGGTGAGACCTTGTCTCTACAATAAAATTAGTCAGGTGTGGTGGCACGTACCTGTAGTTCCAGCTAATTGGAAGGTTGAGATAGAAGGATCACCTGAGTCTAGAAGGCTGAGGCTGCAGTGGGTGAGTGTGCCATTGCACTCTAGCCTGGGAGAGAGTGAGACTCCTGCTCAAAAAAAAAAAAAAAAAGTGAAAGACTGAAAGTTTCTCTCTAAGATCAGGAGCAAGACAAGGATGTCTGCTGTCACCACTTCTATTCAACGATATAATAGAAGTTCTAGCAAGGGAAATTATACAAGAAAAAGAAATAAAAGATACTCGAACCAGCTGGGCTCGGTGGCTCAACCTGTAATCCTGCGCTTTGGGAGGCTGAGGTGAGTGTATTGCCAGAGCCCGCGGGTTCGAGACCCTCCTGGGCAACTTGGCAAGACCTCACCTCTATAATAAATAAAAAATTAGCCAGGTGTGGTAGCGCGCGCCTGTAGTTCCAGTTACTTGGAAGGCTGAGGCGGAAGGATCACCGGAGCCCAGCAGATTGAGGCTGCGGTGGCCGGAAGCGGCCACTGCACTCCAGTCTGGGTGACAGAGTGAGACTCCAACTCAAAAAATAAATAAATAAATAAAATAAGATACTCAAACTGGAAAGAAAGGAGTAAAACTATAGTGCATAGGTTTTTAGATGACATGATCCTATGTACAGAATATCCTAAAGAATCCACAAACAGAAATACTAGGGCTGATAAACAGGTTTGGCAAGGTTGGAGGCTTCACAATCAATACACAAAGTTCAGATGTCTACGCTAGCAACAAATAATCTAGCAGTGAATAATGAAACATTAGCAATGAACAGTCTGAAAAGTAATTAAAGAGCCCGGCTCAGTGGCTCTGCCTGTAATCCCGCGCTTTGGGAGGCTGAGGTGAGTGGATTGCTTGAGCCTGAGGGTTTGAGACCTGCCTGCGCAACTTGGCGAGACCTCATCTATACAATAAATCAAAAAAATTAGCCGGGTGTGGTAGCACACACCTGTAGTTCCAGCTACTTGGAAGGCTGAGGTGGAAGGATCGCCGGAGCCCAGCAGGTCGAGGCTGCAGTGGCCAGGAGCGGCCATTGCACTCCAGTCTGGGTGACAGAGTGAGACTCAAAAAAAAAAAAAAAAGAAAAGTAATTAAGGAAACAATTTCATTTACAGTAGTATCAAAAGGAATAAAATATGTAGGAATAAATTTAAACAAGGAAATGAAGATTGGTACACCGAAAACTAAAAACATTATTGAAGCTGGGCACGGTGGCTCACACCTATAATCTCAGCACTTTGGGAGACCAAGGAGGGAGGATTGCTTTACCCAGGAATTTGAGACTAGCCTGGGCAACATGGCAACACCTCATCTCTACAATGAATAAAAGAGTGCCAGCTCACACCCGTAATCCCAGCACTTTGGGAGGATTACCTGAGACAAGGGGTACAAGACCAGCCTGGGCAACTTGGCAAGACTTTGTTTCCACAATAAATAAAAAAGTGTCAGGCACAAAATGTGGCCACCAGTATCCAAATTATTTATCTAGTCACTTTTCTCAGCAAGGGCCTGTAAGGAAAAACACCTTGAAGGGAACTAACTGGCATTGCAAGTAAATGAGTTGGCCTGTCCTTTACAAGTGATGCATAAGTGTACCATTTAGGGTTCTTTCTGTTAAAGGTATAGAACTCAAACTGATTTAGGTAAAGGAATTTACTGGATTACATACAGAGAAGCTTAGAAGAACAGCAAGCTTTAGGAATGGCTGAATCCATGTTCTCAACTGATACTGTAAAAAATTTCAACCGGCCGGGCTCGGTGGCTCAGCCTGTAATCCTGTGCTTTAGGAGGCTGAGGTGAGTGGACTGCCTGAGCCCGCGGGTTCGAGACCCGCCTGGGCAACCTGGCGAGACTTCATCTCTACAATAAATCAAAAAATTAGCCGGGCGTGGTAGCGCACACCTGTAGTTCCAGCTACTTGGAAAGCTGAGGCGGAAGGATCGCTGGAGCACAGCAGGTGGAGGCTGTGGAGGCAAGGAGCGGCCACTTCACTCCAGTCTGGGTGACAGAGTGAGACTCCAACTCAAAAAAAAAAAAAAAAAAAACAATTTCAGCCATTGCTTTGCTAGACTCTGGTATGGCCATGTGGTCTTTGAATTATGGTTGTTGCCATGCTTCATGCTTCCTGGCTTTGGCCTCCTCCTCCACCTTGGGGAGATGAATCTTCTCTTTCTCTAATTTACTTTTTTTTTTTTGAGTTGGAGTCTCATTTTGTCACCCAGGTTGGGGTGCAGTGGCACACTCATGGCCACCACAGCCTCCATGTGCTGGGCTCAGGAGATCCTTCCGCTTCTGCCTTCCAGTCCGCGGGTTCGGGACTAGCCTGAGCAGCAAGGTGAGACCTGTCTCTACAATAAATCAAAAAATTGTTTGGGTGTGGTAATGCGAACCTGTAGTTTCAGCTATGTGGGAAAAAAAAAGGCTGGGCTTGGTGGCTCAGCCTGTAATCCCAGCACTTTGGGCGGCCGAAGTTGAGTGGATTGCCTGAGCCTGCCAGTTTGAGACCAGCCCATGCAACTTGGTGAGACCTCATCTCTACAATAAAATAAAAAATAGCTGGACGTGATAACACATGTCTGAAGTTCTGGGCTACTGGGAAGGCTGAGGCAGAAAGATCACCAGAGTCCAGAAGGTCGACGCTGGGGTGGCCTGTAGTTCCAGCTATTTGGAAGGTTGAGGCAGAAGGATCACTAGCGCCCAGCAGGTGGAGGCTGCGGTGGCCGTGAGTGTGCTATTGCACTCCATTCAGCCTGGGCAACAGAGTGATACTCCGACTGAAAAAACAAACAAAAAAACCCCCAAAACCCAAAAACAAAACAAAACAAAAAAGTGTCTCACCCTTTCTTAGTCTGGCTTTCTTCGGTGATGGCTTCATTCTTATCCCCATTAATTCCAAGCTTAAATCCTTCAAAATTCACGATAAGTGAAAAATGTAGCTGGGCTCTGTGGCTCAGCTTGTAATCCTGCGCCTTGGGAGGCTGAGGTGAGTTGATTGCCTGAGTCCGCGGGTTCGAGACCCACCTGGGCAACTTGGTGAGACATCATGTCTTCAATAAATAAAAAAATTAGCCAGGCATCGTAGCTTGCACCTGTAGTTCCAGCTACTTGGAAGGCTGAGGCGGAAGGATCGCCGGAGCCCAGCAGGTCGAGGCTGTGGTGGCCATGAGCAGCCACTGCGCTCCAATCTGGGCGACAGAGTGAGACTCCAAATAAAAAAAAAAAAAAA